TCTAGATAGAGGAAGCCGAGAAGCAGAGGTCGGGTTCGAACCAAGAGCCTTCCGGTAAGTAAATTAGCGCTCTAACCACTGAGTCATCTCGCCATTAGTACCACAAGATGTGTAATGCTCACACACGCGACCATTATCTACCTGATGAAGTGAATTCCATGATTAAAGCTCGCCCTACTATCCTTCACATTACGCACCTGGTGGGTCGATATGACATCACCCTGTTGGTGAACACCAGACCAGAAGCGCGGTAGTGTGCCCAGTATGGCTTTGTGGTAATAAAGCCTGTCCACATTGCGTTGAAAACAAGAGACCGTTTATGTCCGACAATATCATCGGAAGGTCGGACTGACAGTGACGAAAGACGATGGATGGTTGTTAACAAACTAGCTGCACTGAATACGTTGGCTGTGTCATGTTTTATATGGAAGGTAAGCGATTGCCGTGCCGGGCTCTGAGATATGAAGGCAATCCATGAAGGTGATAGTGGGATTGGGTAGCGCCGGTACATGTCGTCTGAGTGGCTGGGTAAAGATAGACTAGCCGAATCAATACTCGAATGTGCTAGCCAACAAGGCGATTTCACACAATTAAGGGTACCGTCACATCTTACTCTTGACTGAAAACCACCATTTTCGTCTTCATGCTTGCTGCATCTATCGCCACATTGTAACCAAAGCTATCTCCCGTCACATGTTGCCACTGTTCGAACTGTTGCGCATACAAGCAAGTCTCGGGTAAAAAGCTGAGATGAACCACGTACCGAAATAAATAGTACGACTGAACTTCTCAAGATGGCGGAGTCTAGTTTTGATGAAAATTAAGACAGCACCGTCGGTGTTGAGTGGCTTGGAGGAGTTCAAGTCTGACATTCACTAGATATATCCTCATAACGACTTCCGAGGAAGCAAACGCAATCAGTAAGGGAGGATAAATAGGTGTAGAGTTTGGATGGGAAAGAGGAAAACTGATTGGAAGAAGTTGGGCGAAAATTTTAGCATATACCGGCAAAAGTCTTAAAATTGTAATCACGGCCGAACGTGAAAACCTGGTCGAGCAGACTTGAGGATGGTCAACCTTCATTGGAAGCATTTGTCCTATCCCCAAATCACGAAACATGTCTTTGTCTCTGTCGGCAATTTGGATAGAAACTGACAACAAAAACGCCACCGACGTCGGCTGGGAGCCATATCTTGTAGTGTCTCTAACCAGGCAATGAGGACCCGTTGTTCGCGAGTGATCACATCTGCCTACACATATGGGATTCCTTCTGTAGCCTTATGAGTAGTGTTGTGAGAAGTACATCGCTCACAGTACAACTGACCCGTGGTTGCGCTGCTCTGTGTTCCCCAAAATACTTTGATAATGTCACCTCGATTGATGATGAATCCGCATGTGTGTCATATGTTCGCGGCGGAATTGCCTCACAGCAATTGGCAGAGCAGTCAACCATCACGAGGATACAGTCATTTTGCCAATCTCTCTCAAGGTCTATCC